TTTTCCATAAAAATAGCTAAAATATTTCAAAACTCTAGGTTTCTATTTTGTTTCATCTTGTAATACGTTATTTGATTTGTTAGAGACTTCGAAAACATCTTATTTTGTAGAATTTATTCCATTCGTCCAACTGACCAAACAAAAGACACTCCCCCCCCCCCCCCTTTTACAGTAGCTTTTTAACAACTTCTTAATGATTACTAACATTTTTTAGCAAAAGACCGCCCCACAGAAAACATCCATCTTCAATAATCTCAATCATGAAAACATAAATATTATACTCAATTTTTTTATAGTCTTTCCTATGGTATTATTTGCAATCAAACACAAGTAAACAGCTAAATAGAACGAAAAATATCCTAAATCTTTTTTCAGCTAAAGATTTTATATTTAATACTATTTTTCTAATGTCAAAAGATAATCATTCCTTTGCTCAATAAAATACGACCACTTGATGAGCGAACTTTTTTGCCAGGACTGTAGTTCATTGATTAACTTTTTACTACAAGCAGACGTATCAGTCATTCGCAACTATGAGATTATCGGCGGGTTATTGGTAGTTAACAACGTCTTTGCACAATAATGAGGTTGAAAGATTTTCTTTTGTTGCTGTTTTAGATTAATAGAAACTTTTGCATCTATTGCAAGAAGATTGTTTGAACTGTGACAAATAGTGTTTTTTTTATTTTTACCGATATGTCCTAAAATAAAATGATTTCCTTGATTTTCAAACTATTATTTTTATAGTTCTTCTTTTGATATTAACAGTTTCTCACTCTCAAAGCGTAAATTATCAATGTAACTTCGACAATGATATGACAGATGATTGTCAATTAACACTAACATCGGGTGGAACCTCCAACATGGCCTTAACGTTTGGCAGTACTCCTTCTTCTAACCCTACTCACGCCTTGTCTGATGTTACTGCCATTCGTAAGTATTTTCTCAATCAAAGATAATATAGATCACTATCAAATAACATCTATTATACAGTGTCATCAACTACACCGAACAATGAACGCTGCAATTTTCCATACACTTATATACCTGGAAACTGGCAAATGTACTTTTGTCGACGTAATTTTAATAATAGTTATACGTGTCCAACTACATCTGGTCGTCCGGGACAATGTGTTTCAGGTTGGTTATTTTCTTAAATTTCATATCATCTTAATATTTCTTGAAAACTTCATTGCTTGTAGGAAAATTTGCTAATATAAGAGCAGCAGGGACTGGTGGATTTGATCAAACATATATGACTGATGTTAAACGAAGCTCGAGCACCATTCAATGTCTTGATTTCTATTACTATATCCCTGGTGCATCAAATAATCCGAAAATACAAGTAGGATGGAGATCAGGTGAAAATACACAACAAATAATTGAATTGACACCACTACCAGAAAACAAATGGCATAATAGTCGAACTAGTTTTATGGCTCCTTCATCATCTTCTTATGAAGTGAGTAATGATATAGTCTCTTATGAATACAGATGCATGATGACTTCAATATATATTATTCAATGTAATTTCAGCTTACGTTCAGAATGATGCGTGATGGATCAAGTTTTACTCACTATTTTGGTTTGGATGAAATCAAGATCTATGATCATGCTTGTGGTATGTTTTCTTTTCACAAATTAATAAATTTTTTTACTTTTGGGTCTAATTTCTTTTATAGATATTTGATTTCATGACAGATCAAGGTAGAAACGACTCATTTCATGAAATTTTTGACTTCGCTCTTGTTTTTGATTTCAATGATATAAAATGATTTTTTTGAGTCCTATGATTCAAAAAGCATCAGAGTCATCTATTTTATATTCCGTATGTGTTGTTTTTCCGGGGTGTGGGTGTGGGTGTTTATCTTTTACTCTCCCACATCCACACTTGTTCGTTCTTTATTTTCGATTTCACTTCTTTTTATTGTCCAATCAAGAGTTCAATTACAATATGTTTGAAGCAAAATGGGAAATTGTTGAGAGGTAATGAACCTAGTTGAGTTTACGCGATTTACTTGCCGTAGGTTTACTTTCCATTGAATACTTCGACGAAAGAAATGAGCAGATGAGTAATTATTGAGGCAATTCTTATATGAATTGGTGCATGTCGACCAGGTTACACTCCTAAAGAAATTCGGTCTTGCAGCAAAGTTAAAAGTAAAGATGATTTTGTTTTTCTATTTAATCGATCATATATAATTTTCAAATAGGATTTAAATCGTATATAATTACTTGTAGTGTATGGTTTTTATAAAAGGTTTTTCGATGTGGGAAACTGCAAAACTCAATAATTGATCTTAATAAAAATATTAGCATAACAAAGTATATCAATCTATGTGCTCGTTTACAACCAGACATTCGGCTTGTGTCACATTGTTCCAGAGATTGGACATGATCGATTTTCTAGAATCTATTGCTCTCTAAGTAGTGTTTACAAATTTGAAAAAGAAAATTTTTCAAAATCGACCTTTTTGTGACTGATTGATTCTCGTTATACACAAGCTTGAATAGAGTGATATCTATGAAAACCTTCTTTTCAATAACGCACATCGCTTTTTAGTCAGCGAGTGTGACGAAAACTATACTCATTGTTATAAAGAATTATTTTGACACGGCAAACTTCGACGACATTCATGCTATTCTCAGTCGATTCGAATGATGAGATAAAAAAAGAAAGAACACAGTCCTTTATCATTATTCTTTTATCTTCATGTGAAAGATAACGATTGACGTACACTTTTCACCAGAAATATAAAAAGAGATAAATCTTTGTCAGCTTTGTTTCTCTTCGATATTATTTGTACACATGCACACATGACATTCTAATGAGTTTAGCAAATTTTTCCTCATCTTCTCTTCATGTACCTCAGCGCAATGCTGACTTCAGTTCATCATTATCATTGAATCGGATCGTTGAATCATCATCGTCTTCTTACACACCTATTCGATTAACAACGATCTATCAGCAAGCAGATGCTTCATCTGCCATCAGAAAGTCATTTGTGATTGCTGATCTACTTGCTAAGAAGCACTCATCGCCTAGTGCTAATCAATAGCTCAAATCGCAGCAATAGAACGAAAAATAACGTAAACTTTGCAAGAAACTACCATGGAAAAACTGTCCAGTGATTCATAAACTATTACGATCAAACCAATGTAGTTTTCCACGAACGGTTCTTCGACAGTGACTTCAATCCCAATGCTAACAATGCAATGTCCTTATTATCAAGAATCAATTACGAATTACGTATTTGCTTATGATATTAATTATCATTGAAGATTGAATAAATGATTTGACTTTTAATCTTTCAGTCAATGGATTATGAATTATTTTCATATAGTTAATTATTCATTCATACTATCCTTGTATATAATTTTTACTTTTCATTCAGTAGAAAATGATCGAATCTAAAACTAGAAAAAAATCTGATGAAACACAAAACGTATTTTATTCTAACAGTGTAGGAATAAAAAAAATATATTTTAGATGGACAGACGTGTGTTTAAAACATAAATACTTCATCGACTGGTGTTCCATTGAAAAGATAATCTAACTAATGCTGATCTCAATCTGTCTCATCACTTATTGAAAAATTTTACTAAAATCAACTTTTGTACAGTGATTGTCTTCTAGCTTGTACGTCAAACGATTTTTTACTCACGCAATATGCTTTTTGATATAGTGTGAAAGAATATGATGCACTGTAAAAACGTTCTGTTGCATTAATCAATGAAAGAGTAAGAGAAGTACATGATCATTTGTATGATGTGTGTCGTTAGCATTGGGCTTACCTATCATAAACTTAATGGCTATTGATGGAAAATACAAAATCGAAGACATCATATCTTTTATGGGCTAGATCTTTACAGAATCATGTGATGAACTTGATTGAGATCTATTTTGAACAAACAGTTCAGCGATACTATCGTAACAAGTTGAAGCAATAAAAGATTCGATTAAGTGGAGTAGACAACAATAAATCAAGCAGGGTACACTGGTTTGCAATTACATACAATACGACTCTTCCTATGTTCTATCGATTGGATAAATTTTATCGTCATATAGAAACAGCATACTGACGTTTTCCTTAAAAATGATTCAAAACTAAAGTATACGTCTCATTCTATGTTCATCTAGTTGATCTTACTGAATAAAGTTTCCTACATAACTGACTTTCATAATTCGTATGGAAAAAAGAAAATGATAGTGAACAATAGGACAACTTCGATTTGATAATAGATTTTTAAAGGCTATACATGACGGAAGAAATAATGAAACAAAATATTGGATTTCGACATTCGTCTGACAATGGATCACTTCTTGGAAATCATTCATGTATGACTATTAGCATCTAACGTCGTTCGATTCATGAGTCAACAATCGCTACCCATGCAGTCGATAATGAATAAATAATGCAAAAATGACCCGTTATTTAGTCAAATGCATCAAATAATTAATAGTAATGCAGTATTTAGAATAATGTTGCAACCATCAATAATTTTTTTTCCTTTCGTGAACGAAAGTTCGAAAACATTGTTTCACAAATCTAAAATAAGCTGCAACAAAGTTTTGCATATATCACAATTCTTTCAAGAACATTATTCCAAACAAGTAAACCGATAAGAAACAGAATGTGAATGTGGGTAAGAGTGTTAATGTAGGTGTTTTTGCAACTCCCACATCGACATTCACACCCTTTCTGCGAACCATATCCGAAAACTTTGGATCCAATGAGCTCTACCTTACATTGTCAACATGCTTTTTTCTCAGTTCCATTTTTCTATCAGAATTCATTTCGATGTAACTTCATGCTAATCTGTGGATCTAAACGTCTTTGTTTTGTAAAGAAATTGAAGTTCTATGCTGTATTATTTGTCTGAGTTGCAGCTTCTATCAAAGAAAGAGATCAATGAAAAAATATTATTAGTATTATTTTAAGGACGAGGAAAACAACAATTCTTGTTATTTAATTATCTTCGGTATATATATGTTGATTCTATTCAAGTGTTTGACAAAGATAAAGTAAATGTGTCATTTTAGGATTAGGATTTGATATTGGTGTTTGTTGAATATCATCTGATAATGCATTAACACAAAAACTACTTGATGGTGATAATTCATTGGCTAATATTGAACTTAAATGACTTGTTGTTGAATTGACACGTGGCAATGTAAGAAATTGTTCCGAACTTTCATTTGATCGTCAAAGAGGACTTTAATAGGAAAAAATGACAACCTATTTTTGATAATTTTTTTAATAAAAATTAAATACAAACAAGATAAGTTTGAACAGCTGGAATTGTTAAAGCATTATTACTTCGTGTTTCATATCTAACAAAACTAAATCTTGAGTATTTAGTTGAATTAAGAAACTTCTCTGCTTGATATTATCGTTTGATATACAATCATATTCGTATGGTGATGTACTTGGATATTGAGCCAAAGAAATCTTTTTATTGATTGAAATGTTATTAAAGAGAAGTGAAAAAAAATACTTGTATCAACATTCATTGAATGATATATTGTTGTCTTACAGTAATTTCTATGAAAATCATCTCAAATTTTCAATGATTTATCAAGTATATCATTAGATAAAGGTCTTTCTTTTCGTTGTTTTTTATTTATGATTCGACATATACCGAACCTGATGAATCAAATTCGCTTTTGATTGGAATTATTTTCAGTTAATTAGTAAAAAGAAAGTTGAACTAAATCAATTGAAAAGATTTATGAGTGGTTTATGATAGACTTATACATACTCACTAAATCGACGGACTGCAGGAATCCTAAAAGAACTCAATGATATTTCCATGATTGTTCATAGACTTCAAAAAATACTTGCACAATTACTGAAAAACTCGAAGTTGTATTCTGAACTTTTTCGTAAAACTAAATCCTGTTGAAATGTTCAAGTATCGTCTCATGATAAAGATAATATTAATAACTTAAAATTCGAAGAACTCGGTGTTTGTATGCTAGGAAGATCTCACAGTTTAAATTACTTAGTTTGATAGCGAAAGCATTCATTTTATGCAAATATGATAAATCTCAGTACACGATCTTTAATTGTTAGATCTGTTTCATATACTCCTGTAATATGCATGACTGGTAAAATAGGTTTTTTTTCAAATTTGCTCCAAAGAATTTGTCAATTGGTGTTCGATGAACTAGCAAAACAGTCGTAGTACCGACTGATAATTCTCCTAAATTATCTCCCATGATCTAACAAATAAAACTCTGATTATTTAAATAAAAAACAAGAAGTGATTTAGATTAACGTTTAATGGAAGCCTTTGATCAACAATTACATCTTCATCATCATCATCATATTATTATAAATAAAAGCAAAACTCTAAATAACATTTGAAAATAATATTGTATTCGAAATATTTGTTTTTGTTTCTTCAAATTGTTTATCATTATTATCATCTGTACGTTTATGTTTTATTTTTTCGAAATGCATGTTGACCCAGAATATATTCAACATGTTTTCTTAATGAACTTGAATCTGTATCAGATTTACGACAACCTCGAATTTGGCATTTATATGTTTTCTAAAAAAACAAAAGAAAATTTCATTTGTTATTAATTTATTCGAAAACTAAAATTCAAACTTTATTTAAATGTGTTCGTTTAATATATTGTGTTCGATCTGATGAATTACTAAATGCTTTCGAACAGTCAGCATATTCACATGGCTTTGGTTTTTCACCTATTCGGTTTCAAATAAGAAAAATTAAAAATTAAAATGAATATATACTAAAAAAGAATCACCTAAATGTGAACGTTCATGTAAACGTAATTATTCTGCACGTATAAATGTTTTTGTACAACCAATATGTGAACACTGATATAGTGGATCTTGTATATGTGCTCGTAAGTAAAGAAATAATGAATAAAGTGATTTAAATGGCATTCAATTACGTGTGCATGATTACCATTGACATAACCATGTACGAGAATCAATTCGATTAATATGAACAGATTGAATATGTTAACAAAAAGAATCAATAGGTATGAAAGTGAGAAATCGATAATTGTTGAAATTGGTACCCCTCGAAAAATTCAATTCCTTCTATATATAGCTGACCAACATCAACAATTAGGTGTGGGTGTGAGGGTGTGGGTGTAGGTGCGGATATTAGTTTCGTTGCTGGTGTCTCTATGCGTGGGAGTGGTTTCGGGTGAGAGAGTGGCCTTTCGTATGGGTGTTGGCGAGTAAAGCTGTGACTGTCGTCTCCCCGTGCATCTGCATGGGACAGAGTCACAGGTTGAGTGAGGGTGCGGGTGCCATGTACGTGCGTATGGGTCACCATATTACTCTTCCTCTCAACCACAATGTACCCCACACCCAGACACACCCTACAAACATACCCCTCCCCCAACTCCAAACAACACCTGCCATAATAAAACACCACAACATACAAAAGGAATCAAATACAAATTCTGTAGCCCAGCGCAATCGTTGCGTGCACCACATATCACAAACTTTATGCACTGTCATCCGAGGACACATTACACTAGTAAATATTCACCCAACAAACAAAACACAACAAGCCAATTATCCAACCACATACGCTCCGCTATAACAACACAGGAATCAATACCAAACAACTCATAAACCTCACAGTCTAGTAAACATACTCGTCAGTTCACCCGACAAACGTCAACATCCTTGTCGTCATTAACATAAACCACCCAAAACGCTCAAATTTCAACATATATAGTTATCCATTGCTGTGATGGATGTCATTGCCCTTAAGGTAATAGATGAAGTGATTACTCCGCAGTGTGATGAGGATTTGATAGGAGTGAATACGCTTCATTCGAATACCCGGTTACTCTTCGTGTTTTGTAGTGGATATCCGGTGTAACGGGATTATGACATCACTCATCAGGATCGGAAGCAAAACAATTTTATCACGAAATTCTAGTTACCGTCATATTAGCTCGGTTTTTATTTTTGTACGAACAAAATTTCACATGAGCGTTTGTTAAAGAAATATGAAAAGTCATTGACATATATGTAAATCTTGATGAATTGTATCAATCCATTAAAGAGCAATTAAACCTTGTAGATAAACAAATACAAGCACTTTCGTTTTTTTTTGACCCACATGGAAAATCGATTTAAGAATTATCGAAAGCAGCAGCAGCGTTTTTTTGATTTCAATTATTTAATTATGTCATTGATCGTGTTTCACGAAATCAACAAGCGAAGTAAGAAATGCTTCGCATATGTAAAGAAATAACATTAATTGAAGAATTTGAAGAGACATATCGATCAAAAGATGCTATAGGCTGATATTTGAGACAATCTTTTGTTTATAGACTAATCAATAAAACATTAAGAACAAAAGATATCGATCTTCTGCATATATTTCAAATTTTTATTAATGACCTTTCTGAAGCTCTACGACAAGAACATAAAAAGATTTTATTATTAAAGGAAAAAATTACAAATGGTTACTTATCAACAAGTCCAAGAAAATTATTAGCATGACATTTTGCTATGAAACCAACAAAAAGAACCGATCCCGTACCTGTTCTTTTCCATATTCAATGTGTTATTCAACAGATTAATCAACGTATTACTTTTGCTAATATTAGTGAATTTCTTGACGGAAGGGCGAAAAATAACGAAAGATTATTATGTGATCTAGGTGAATATGATAAATCAAGAAAATATTTTAGACAATTATTGAATGATTCAAACGATGACGACCGTGCACGGATTGAATTCAATATGGGACAAGTTCTCCTTTTAAAGGTGAATTAAACAATGCTAGAAGATATTATGATCGTGCATATAATCGAATGATGAACTGTAGATCAGCTCATACTCTCAACAACATTTGTGTTCTTCTATATCAACAAGAAAAGTATGATGAATGTCTCCGTTGTCGTCAACGAGCACTAAATATTCAAGAGAAATGTTTCTCATTTGGTCATATCGATATTGCCTCTACTTTGAATACTATTGGCGTTTGTGATAAAGCTCAAAACAACCAAGATGCGGCATTTGACTACTACCAATGTTCATTGACTTTGTATAAAGAATTTCTTCCTGTTGGTCATCCAAATCGACAGAAAACCGAAACGAATATTCGTCTATTTATTCGAGAAGAGTGAACTCAATTAATAACACAATAAAGGATCAAACTATTTGAATGATTTAAAGATTTTATTTTTGTAGTAGAATGTTGGTTTGTAATTGTGAATATCCAACATTTATTCTATGATAGTTTTAAATAATTATAAAATTTAAAGGGTGTGAGTGTGGGTGTGATTCTTCTCAATCAACACTCACACCACACACACTCATACTGCCCCACATCTAATAATCGTTTGAGGTTTTTTTTTATCAAGTCCAAGAAAGGTTAACCTTCTTTATGGTCATTCTTATTTTACATTGTGCTATGTCAATAGTTGTCCAACACACGTTCATTAAACTGCATAACAAAGAAGGCGGCAGTGCAGCCTTTAAGGTATTATTCTCCATGGCGACAGTATGATATGGAATCTGTTAGAGCAAGCTTGTGAGGACCTCATCGAAGACGATTTGAAAATCTGCATCGACCACTAGTTTGACTTTGAAAATTTGCACTATAGAGCTAATGTTCTAACATTTGCCTTAAAAGTTCTTTTGAAAACTAGAATCATATAGTTGAAAGTTCTTTATTTTTCAATAGTTGAATCTATTATTATGATAAATCTATTAGATACTTTTCATAAATACTTTGAGACAGGTTTCACTTAGAATACTTTGTGACGAAAAGGTGATTTGAAACAATTGATAGTTCTTCGAGGTCTATTCGTTCCCGATGTTTTTTTCGTTGTTGTCTTTTATAATATATGTCTGATAAAAGTAAAGTAATGCTTTATAATCAGATTCATTTTTCAAATTTAAAAATTCAGTGTCTAATTTTTTCGGAAAGGTCACGTCATCTAAATTCAATGATTGTGTTAATTTATAATTGAATTTCATTCGTTTAATATTATCAAATTTTGCCAAGTTATTGGTGATTGTTTCAGTTAAACTACGTGTAGCGTCCATTAATGTATCGATTACCAATCCTTTTTTGTTGGATATATCAAACAACCATGTATATAAACCTCCCCAGCTTGTCGATGATAATTCTGGATTATAACATCCTGTACCAATAGAAAGTATGCGATAATTGACCATTTTTTTCCATTGCATTCGTATTGCCCATAATGCTGTTAATTCTGGATCGTTGGCAAACACACCTCCATCAATATATACATCATGAGGTTTAGGACCTTCAACAAAACTACCATTTTCTTTTATTCCCTTAGGGATTGACCATGGTTGAAAGTAAGTAGGAGCAGCCATTGTAGCCTTTAACACATCTGCTATAAGATACTGCCAATGTTCAGCAAAACTTGTATTAAATACGGTAATGCTACTTGTTGTTGTATTGTAAGCAGTAATAAGTAATACCTTTTCACGTGTGACACGATGAGCTGTTATACCCTTATGAGCCTCTATACATTCTGTCGTCGACAGTTTATCATCCACGAATTCTAAAGAACTACCGTGATATCGACGATTTTTTTTCAATGCGTCATTACTAATCATATGTTCAGGATTCAGCAAATTGTGTAAATCAAGTAAAGTAGCATTTTTAGCTGTTAATTTTTTGCCATGGTCCAATCTTCCTTCAAATATTTCACCAATAATTGAATCAATTCGTTCGTGTATCTTATTGTGATTATATTTGGCAGACATGATATCTCCCAACCAACCAAATACACGCCAACTATTCAACCAATTTTTTGTGAAATAAGCCGACGGCTTGGCATATATCTTCTGGATCTCTAATATAGGATATTTGGTAGCCAAACAGAAAGCAATGAGCCCACCTGTACTTGTACCAACAAAATAATCGAATTGATCGGTAAACTTTAATTGACCTTCTTTAAATTTCTCCTGGTGTTCTTTGTTCTCGGGATCAAATACCTCAATGTCAGGCAGATAAGTATCTTTTATGAGCTCTCCAAGAACTTTAATGGACATATAGCCCCGCACCCCTGTAAACAAGAAACAATGTAAGAACAAATATCGATGCCTAAAGAAAATTAGTCGTCTTACCTCCACCATCTAAGCTCAATACACGTATCTTTCTTTTATATGCTTGTATATGGTATTCAACAAGCATTGAGCCCAATTTGGATCGTTGTTCTTCTTCAGACGGTGATGGCGGTGCAGTTTTTGTCGGCACTTTTTTCTCTAATATAGCCATAACATAAGACATCTCCATGTCATTTTCTATTTTCCCTTTTTCCATTATTCTTTGGAAATGAGATTCTTTTATTTTATTCAGAAGTTCATGCCAATTTATTTCAGCCTCTCCAACAAATACAGAATGCATATCTTCGTTGCCTTTTGGATCATCATAATTATTACGATTATGATAATTTTTATGATCACGTTGAGTTGCAAGTTCCAATTCAAAAGCAGGCTTCGCACAATTACGACATAAATCAAAATTATGGCATATTTTGCATTGTTTCCAACTAACTTGATCGAGTATAGTTCCACAATTGTCACAATAACCGTGTGCAGAAATTTGACTACATGAGATCAAAAGCGGCGGTGTCAACGGCTTAGTATCCATAGCCACATAGAAGTTGCTGTTGACGTATGTTTATGATTCTACGTGGACCTATTGTGTAATGAGATTTCAACACGATGGCTAAAATATATTCAGTACTCTGATAAATGCAATAACAGCTGTATCAAAAGAATATTTTCCCTTTTTTAATCTTCAACTATGATGTTTTTTCTTATACCCTACTCATCCTTTCTGTTTTATCTCCGTGCAGAAAAAAAGCAAGATGAAATATTGCGAAAGATTTTCATGTTGCTAGTCTTATTTTATGAAGTTTACTGTTTTCAATTTATTCTCTACTACGCCAGTTGTTTGAATTTATCTTTTCGAAAGTTGATATTCATACAAAATGTCAATCTGTTACACTTACAAATCATTCAGATAATGTATCGAAGAAATTTCTTTAGTTTTGTCAAAAAATTCAAGATGAAAAGTGTTCATTTATGATTAGTGAAATAATGATAAAATTATCCTAAATTTATGCATTCTGAAGAATCCTGTCTTGAAACGATAGTTCTAATCTAGTTCTATACAAGTTCATAATTCAATCAGTTAAACATATGTAAATTCATCATAAATATTATTGGTTTACTGATAAAAGTCAAAACGGCTGGGCCATTCTTATGTATATTTTGCTAGCATTCATGTTTAAAAGATGTGAAAAAGAAACACGAAAGATTTTCTTCGTTGATAACCCTCATGGTCTGAACAACATCTGCCAAAATAAATCATTGTAATTACAGTACTCACCGGTTCTACGGGTGAACCAATTAAACAATTAATAAGACACAAAGATTGAGACGTGATAAAAACAACTAAAGCTTCTAATCGTTAATTATCTAAAATAAAAACCGTACAAACTAATCATAATCTTGATTAAGAAACCTTAATTTTTCTAGGACACTTGGACGAGATCAAAAAGTAACACATTGCAATACAGTATATCACATCAAAAGAATGATTCGATTTCTTTGAATGTTGAAGATTTAAATTTGAATTGAATCCAACTTTCAAGTTTGACATCTGTGACAATACTATAATTACCGTTAAAACAACTGAAACCATCTGTTCGGAAATACAACTTTGCAGGAAGTCTCAAACAGAACCAAAAATCATCCGAATAATTATATGAACATATTTAACTATTCATAAAACAATTGCAACATCCTACCCATCATTAATTGAAAACTTGAGAAATTACGTAGAAATTTCCGAAATTACCATATGTAAATTTCGAAATTTCTACATATACATGTTATATTAAAATTAGAAGATCCTACACTGCTAAATATTGAACATTTCAGGAATTACATGGGAACTTTAATGAATTTTGAAATTTCGTATATACGTATATGTTGCAGTAAAAATTGAAATGTTCATTTCTACTATAGGAGGAGAAAAAGAACTTTCATGTGGTATATGACTCAAATTGAAAAGTGTCAAAGATAACAGACAAACTATTCTTATGAGTAGAACACATCATATCCACATAAGAGATACATAGTCTCAAATTTTGAGTCACCCACGTGCAGCTAGAATATGAGGTCTAATGATCTAATCTGAACGACAATCGACCTCTTACATTTGATTTAACTATTTGAAAAATAAGAAACTCAATTTTGAGATGGAGTCGATTTCATTGCTTAACAACATCCCTCCTTACGACCATAATACTGTAAGATTTTGAAAAATTGCATCAATAGTTTCAGAATTAAAATATAATACTTGATTTCTTTAATTTCATATCTAAATCGAACAAGTTTTTTTTCAATAGGTTTTTAATTCATCATTCACATCTTCTCTTACCAAAAGTATGTTCATACATATACTATACTGGCTTGTGTATTAAGACGAATGTTATAATAATATAAAGACTGGATTAGTCGATAATAACAAGAAATCTCGATGTAGATACAGAATCGAAAGTTAAGAAGCAGAAAAGAAAGAATTAAAAAAAACAAGCTGAAAGAAGTTTTTAGAAAGAATTATAGGCTCAGCTCTGTAGTGGAGATAAGACGGGCTAGAATTGAATAAAAACCTATAGTATTATCAACAGAAATTAGTGAGCATTGTGATTTCTTTACAGAGACTTTTCATATCCTAACATAAAGCGAAAACAAAGTTTGGTATAAATTTGTTTTCATATTTACATCACTATCAAAACAAGATTCAACTTAATGAAATGTTTCAAAATTATTACCATAGATATCAACCACATTGAAGAACTATTAAAATATTTTCGTTAATAATAAAAAACAAAATTAATGAATTATTTCAGTCAAAAGTGTGATTGTTTTAATAAATGATTGAAGATCAAAACCTAATTCTAAAAATATACATATTAATTCTTCAAAACAGCTTTCTTCGTTGTTTTTACTTTAGAAAAATTTCTTATGCATACTTTAAAACTTGTTTCATCTTTATCAATAAGATTAAGCATAAATTTTATTAAAATTTTAATCATACTGATCAATATCAATAGATGAAAAAGAATCTGAATAATTGTCATTAATCTAAATAAGAAAAAATAAATATTAAAATTTCTATTGTCGAACAAGAATTGACATACACTACGCATCTCCGAACGCTTCTCTCCTAAAGATACACATGATTCATAGACAGAAATGACCTAAAGTTTTTCATTTGGCAACTAGGATTAAATTGGATTGTATACGTTCTTTAACAAATATCTTTCTTGAGACTCAGGAAACCCAAAAAAACGCGTTGTTTTTTAGCGAAAATTCTGTAAAGCTTGCCAAAATTTATAGAAACGAAATTTTTAAGAAAAAAAAAACATGGATTTCATTTTGATCAGCATATTCATAAAAAGATGGTACAGTCTAACAGGTTGTACCATGCAAGAGAAGACGTCAGCTTTTTTTTCGAACATTTAATTTCAAGAAAAACGCAAAGAAAGTTGAATTTTTGGTTTTTCGTTATCGAAATGTACTTATTAGATGGAAAAAATTGAAATCTATACCATGGTAACAAAAAATTAGAAAATTTTGAGTTGGAAAAGGATGTTTCTTTAAATTAACTTCAGTTTTTAAGAGATCTAAGACAAGTACTTGACTTATATTATTTATAATTCTAGAGCTTGAAAAAACCTACAATCTATAAAATGCTCATTCGAACTTTACTTTATTAAGTTCTCTTTAATGAAAATATTAGATGTAGTACAAAAGGTACTTGTGCTTGTTTGGCACTATTTAGAAGCTTTCTAATCATTAAACATGAATTGAAAACAAAAAATGAAGCTAATCATTTCGCAGCAACTATATTTTGTGGATCATAGAGGTTTTAATAAATCAATATGTTGAATGCAAAAATATTTCGTTTCTTTCTAGCGTTTGCTCCTTTTATCGAATACAAGAAAACAGCTAATTCGATTATTAGATAAATCTGAAGTATGTATTCTAATATTTCGAAAGACAAACCTCAGAAACAACTTCTTTGTATGTATGAAGATCAATAAGAATACGCTGTTTATCTCCTTACAGAATTAAATTGATATTATCGTCAGACACGCAGCTAGGAATTCTTAGGAAGGCGAAGGGCGCCATAGAAAAAAGATACATTTTGAATTATAAAAACAAATCAGTTCCTACGCTCCCCTCCAGATATTTCAACCTTTTTTGAGGTATTAATCCTCTCAATACCCCCCTCTGGCTGCATCTCCAATTATCACAATGATCAGTATGTCTTATTGATGGTGCATTTCCTGAACTGTTAAAGAGAATAAAAAAAAGCAGATGAATTGATATTTGTACTTGGCTACTTCAACTAGAAACAAAACAATAAAGGTTCACATTTCTGCTAAAATATAAGCATAAAAAAATCAGACAGTTTCGTTGGTTTTCTTATCAACTATCCGTGCACTAAGTGTACGTCAAACTCTCCAGAATACTTTTTGAAATTCCGTGGGACTTCACAACCGAAGTCTCAGTTGTTTTCGCCTCGGTTTTATATATATGTACAAGCAAAAAACATATTTCTGTGTTTCAAAAGAACAGTACCAAACTCAAATTATTTGGTAAAATTTGATACTCGACAAATATCACAGTAGCTTTTAGTGTTCACTATTTCGAGATTCTTTTCTGTGTTCTTACTATCAATTTTGATAGTTGTTAGGATACTGCATTGAAGGCATTCATATCAAAATGCCTTTCCAAAGAAAACTAAGTTGAATAGACGATAATGATCTTCCAAAGATGACCAAAAAATGATCGACTTAATCGTACTATTTTAAGCGGTGAATGAGAGAAGGGTGCAACCCGACTTGTTCTGTTTAATAAGCACAACTTCATCTTGATAAGTGATGTCTAAAGAAATTATTTTTTTCGTATTATCGAGGCAAGAAGCACCAGCATTAGCACTATGATATGGTAAAAAAGAATAGATGATATATTGATATATATGTCTGTTGGAAAAAAAATTTAATTTCATTCAAAATAGTCAGTATCCATTTTTTAATGATCAGATACGGTACTCCAAACGAATTGGACGTTCGGATGATAATAGAGCGATGTAATGTGAATATAATTAACATTCAGTCTTTCATGAATTCATATAATGAAGATCTTTTCAAATATTCAGCTAAGATATTCCAGAATTTCATAGTAAAACCGAATTTATGTGTGTTTCTTTGGCATCCGCATCGAGAGAGATGCAATGTGTATGTTTCTGCTTATAATTGAATAGTGGGGTATCTGAATTTCAGACGAAAAGTATTCAAAAATTGAATTTTAGGTTTAGGTATGACAAATGTGCTTTGTATATCTACCGTATACATACTTCGTGAGGTTAAAAATACTAATGATACCGTTGAGGATAGAAATTTGTTGATATGGTCTGTTTTCATTTTTTAGACAACTTCTAATACTAATTTTTGCAAATATTATTTTATTATGAAGTTGGTTATCCTTATAAATCTTTTCATATATCAATCTGAAGTGATTGTCGTTGGATAATTTCATTGAGATAACTCAATGAATTTTTTTATTTTT